TGTGAATCACAACTGAAGAAGGGCGAATTCAATTACGTGATTGCATAATAGAAATTGAAATATTCTTCATTTACTCTTTAAACTTTTTTCTACAATTTGTACTGTCTAATTTATATGATTATAAGTAGTTGTTTGTTTCTTCAACACTAACATTTCTCGTTCACTTCTGTTCAATCGTTTTGAAATGTTCTTCCGCATTACAAGAACGGCGAATATTATTTATCTCATTCCCTGCATTGATTGGGATATCTGTAATTTCAACAAGCTATATGCATAGGACAAATCAAGAGATTTTTCAGAACATACATCACGGAGCATAAAAATAATTTCAAATGACCATCTAATAGTGACCTCAGCAATCACCTTCTAGAAACATTGATTTCACTTGATTTTGATAATGTAAAAATATTGTATTTGTAAAAGGATTTCAAAAATAAATGTTATCAAGGAATTGATGGGCATTGTTAAGAATAAACATGTATTAAATGAAAGAAGGGCTGTTTAACAGTTATATCTATTCTATAAATGGGTGTTCACATTGCGTGTGTTCCCTTTGTGTGTCACATTATTAATTTTGCCAAACATCATGACTAGTTTTAATCCACACATCTTTCCCGTTTACCCTTTTTGTTATCAATGTAGAAAGCCTTGTTCCATGCTCTATTCCGTGATTGATCATGTCTTGTAAACAATTTGTCTACAATGTTTCTCATCCTTTCCATATCTGTAGTAACCTCTTTCCACTCTTTCATTTTTCACCATAGTATTTTTTGTTTGACTTTTTAGTGATATCTGAATTATGACCCCTACAGTTTTACTGACATTATGTTCCATTAGTTAGACGTTATACTCATTGTATTGTTTTTAATTAACTACGTGTGTTGGTTTTTATACGATTTGATATATGTTTAATACATGTTTATACTCTTAAAACTCAATGTTAGTGCTTTTATGAATAATATATACCGTGCATCTGTAGTTTCAACAATTTTCAGCATTTGAAAAGGGGTCAAAATCACACGTCCTGTGATATTATTTTAACTTAATCACAACAGTAAATAATCACTATCAACTTGTTTTATATTAACCTTAGACCTAAGGATGTGAATTTTTCTTTATCAAAACTAGTTAGGGGTTGTGAAGTTCGTGGAAATTGAGTACCAGGAATCCACTTTTTTAAACAAATTTTTAATAAAAATAATAAAACGAATCTATGTTTTTCAATAACATATAATTTAAGATTTAACATGAACCAAAGGAAACGCAGGCAACTCTTTTTCCTGTATTCTAACAATTCTGTTTGTGGTCCGCGAAGGTTGGAAGATGTTTCAGTGGTCCTCTGTACACTGGAGGTCGTCGGCCGCCGCGTGAGTGTGTAACGGAACGAGTGAAACAGTCGCGGCTCCCGAGTGTTCGTAGTTCCTTCTAAGGCTGCGGCGCTGACGGGCGGAGAGGCGGAGATGACGCACGCCGGCTTTCGCGAGCAGGGGCGGCAAATGGCGGCCGCTTTCCAGGCGCCCAATTAGCTCTATCGCCTGGCGACAGACGGCGCTCGCGGCGAAAACAAACACACAGCACAACCGACAAGCCAACAGTAAAGATTATCATTGACCTTCACAAGCACACATAGAAGGCTGTCATTGTGAAGACTATACGCAAGAAAACTCCGAGTGATTAAACGAACCTTTTTTCTACGATATAATACGATGGAATTTTATGTTGCGTTACGAGCACTTGAATTCAGACTTTGGTTAAGACATCTGAAAAAGTGCGTGCAGCAAACAGATGGCTTCGCGTCACTGCACTGCGAAAAGAAGACGATTCGCACCAAGACCGTGAACGAAACGGGTGCTTGGAAACGATAACCACGAAAGATACAGATGAAACCAATAATGATTCGCAATAGAAGTGTTTTATACAATAGTAGAAAAAAATGTGCACAGTGGTGAGGGAAATTAGTGTTTCTTGTCCGAGACCGATTATTGTTTTATCTCGCCTTAAAGCCATCTCAGCAAAAACCCTTAATCGCGTTCGCGTAAAAAGCAACTATCTCACGCGCCTAATCATCTGCATATAAAAGGCATGTGAATATATATTTTCATAGTAGTACAAAATAATATAAATATTCTAATCTAACACAAACATTTGTGAGATGTAGTGGGAAATTTCATATAAGAGAGTTACATGCGTGACATTTGTTCCTGATTGTCAGGCAACTGGTTTTGCACATGTGTCTTGCGGGTCACGTTCCGACGCAAGAGAGACATAAAGGAGATTTCGATTGATGTATTTGTGATTCCGAGCGCGTCAACAAACAAGGTCATCAGTCCCGTAAGCGTAGTATATGTTTTACTCGCGTGATGTGTCTGCGATCTTCCCCAGGTTGACAGCGAGACCTACGTGACGGCTAGGGTTTTTCCCAACCAGGAATCTCTCACCAGCGGGGCACCGCCCTAGCCGGGTCACGCTCTAAGTTCCCAACTGCTCTCCCGGCATGTGTGGTAGTGTAGTGCTTGTAAGTGTAGGTGTGTGTAAGTGAAGAGTGAGGGCAGGACAAGGAAGAGGAAGGATAGATTACGCGCGGTCCGTTTCTTAGGGTACTGCTCTGAAATTCGCATGTTGATCAGAGAAACCACGAACATCTACAAATCGGAGCAGCCTGCCGCTGGAATTTCCCTCTAGATTGTGGTTGAATTATACCTAGCTATCTAGCTTGTGTCGGAAATCCTGTCGCGGTTGCGAATCGAACCTTAGGACCTCCCCGTCAGAGGTACTGCGTAAGGGGTTGACTAATAATTGGTGTCAATCATCACACGCGTAACATGAAATTTCTCATCATATATTCACAGGCACAAAGTGATCATTTTCGATCCCTCTACTGCCCTGGTAGTTTGTAACTCTTATTCTGAGACACCTGTCGCTAATGAAAGATGACAGATTTTACAAGTAGTAAAGAAACAAAGCTCCGGAAGAGCATCACTGCTATCTTCCCAGTTCTGCACCAAAGAGTTTTGAGACGAAAAACTTTTAATATTTTTACAAGATTTTACAAGTCATTTTACATTTTTTATTAAAGAGTTAAAATAAGATTTACATCTAGTTATTGATAACATTTTTCAAAATACTAATTTAAAAATGGGATATTTTATGGAATTTTTATCATGTATTATGTAATCGAATGTAAAAGGGGAAAATAGTATTTTAAGTTCGCAGATTATTTCATTGGTAGATCACGCACGCGTAATTGCAACCGCAAAACTCTTCGCCATCTTTTCCAGCTTGGGAAAGCTGCATCCTAAGCCTTAAAACCAGGCCTTCGTGTACAATAGGGACATGAGAGGTGTTTCTAAGGCCATAAACAAGAAAATGACGATTTTTTGGACATTCTTGAAGATAGTTCTTGGATGTGATTGCACCTCTCCGTTGTCAGTTGATGAATGGTGAAGGGATTTCTGTACTGTTATGGCGGTCTGACTCTTGTATAAAAACGAGCTTTTATACAAATGTTCGATTCTCCTATTCGTCCTAGGTTGAATACGGAGGTCCACGGGGAGGTTCAGGGACAAGAAAAAATCGTGAGATGATTTGGAGATATGTTTGTCAGTTGTGGGTATTTGTATGTAGTGGTTGATTTGTCTTTTATTTGTAAATTAAGGAGCTTTTATAATATTTTAGCTCTTTCTTTATGTGGTTTGAAATGCGTTTGTAGGCGTCGCGTCTGCTGACATGACGTGCAGTGGCGAAAGGGAGTACACAAGGATACAAAGGCACTCAGCCTTTGGCACTCAGCCCATCGTTAAAAAATAAGTAAGGAAATTTCGGAACCTAATTTTCAAGGGTGATATCTGTGAGTAATATAGATCAATTTCTTTTGTACTTAACAAAACAATGGTTGCTTTTTACGTATCTTTTAATCTCCGCTACTCGCTGGATCTTGTTCCAGAGACGTATTTGGTATTAGTATTGCAATGCGCATTCAGTGAAATTCAGACATTTGTAATTAATTCCTGCCACTATTTTTACTCATATATTATAATTTTTTTCAGAATACAAACCTCTACGGCATGTATGCGGTCAAAGAAGTGTCTTTGTTTCAACGAATAGGTGGTTGGAAATTACATTCAAGGTAGTTACATGTGTGACATCTCTTTTATTCGTAGACAATTGATGCTGTACTGGCAATTAACATGTAGCAGTCAAAGAAATTTCGTGTACCCGCCGGACATACAGGGTCCGGCAACAAGACATCCTGAACTTCAAAAGGCTGTTACCAACAAAGAAAAAAGACAAAATTAAAAAATAATTTTATTTGTGATCAACAAATATAATATGCCGTTTTACGTTAATTGCTACCATCATTGATGACACGTTGAAGAAACCTTTCCCGGAAGTTCCCATAGTTCTTGGTAAGGAGACGTCAGGTTCCAACACGACGGAGCCATAATTCACACTTTGCGGCGTTTGTAGCAATTTTGAGGTTGTTTGCTGGACGCCTTCTCTCTCTTTGCGAGGAGACATCACCTGGCCCCACAGTCACCCGATTTATTACCACGTGATTATGTTCTAAGGGGGCACTTAAGGAGGCAATGGCACAAACAACCCTGCATGCTCTCAAGGAGGCAATCACCCAGGCTGTGGCTGCCATTCCACCGGAAATGGCACGAAGAACTTTGGACAACTTCCTGGAAAGGCTTCGTCAGTGTGTCAACAGTGGAGGACACCATTTACCGGACATAATGTTTAAAATCAAGAAACCAAAATAAATGTCTAAAACCAAAATGCACATAATGTTATAGATAATGTTTAAAATAATGCATCGTAATATTTAAAATAATGTTTAAATAAACATAATGTATGAAGCTAAAATAAAATATCATTATATTTGTTGTTTTCAAATAAAAGTAATTTTTGTGTTCTTTTTTGTTCGTAACTGCCATTTGGAATACGGGAGGTCTTCTTTCCTGTCCGCGTGTATTGTTGCCAACTAGTCAGAGACTCACCGGGCTGCACGCGGCCGGACTCGAAGGCGGGCCCGCGGTGCTGCACGTCGCGCACGAAGATGCCGTCGCGCATGTTGCCGCACACGTTGAAGCCCAGGCCGGTGAAGTCGCGGCTGCGCAGCGCCACCACGCGCGCCGGCCCCGCCAGCGCCTCCTGCGCACAACACACCACACATCTCTCTTACTCACCGAAATACAATTGAGGGGTTTCTGGCAAGAACCGAACAACATCTTCGCTGTTTGGGTGACGCCGCGTCGTGGGCTGAGAGGTCGACGTTTTGCCCGTCGTGTTGCAGGCTTCCTCAGAGTAAGGAATTGGCGCTGAGGTCTTCCATGGCGTCACCCGCACAGTGAGGAAGATATGGACGCGAGCCACGGAAGCTTACGTTTACAAGAACCAAGTGTAAAATTCCATATTTTGAGATATTTCACCAAGTTATTTCCGACAGCTGGCGATATCTGTTAGGACACTTCCTTTCAGTAAATGCCAAGCACTTTGAGAGATATAAGGCGAGGGAGCTTGGTTCTTGTAAAAAACCGTTCAATTCACAACAATTCACAACAATTCAATGATGCCTTATTTTATGTGGCAAAACTCAGCCCATGAGACCAGAGTCCGCCTGATCACGCAAATTCCGCTACTTCATCGTCTAGCAGTGAAAGGAAGTATCACTCGGGCGACGAAACAGGCGATTTGAATTTTGCTCAGAGGCTTCTTTTGGGCTTGAGGATCTTTTACATGCAGTAAATCTATTACATGAGACGGCTGGCTTTACTTCCCTCCTAGGAAAGCTTATGATGAATATTTTTTCCTTTAAAATTCCACGGCTTCGGTAGGGTTTCAATCTGCAGACGAGAGTATAACAGTCCGATACGCTAACCGTTATACCACCAAAACCACATTTCACCAAGTTATTCCCTACAATTGGCGCTACCTTCTGGAACATTACCTTTCGGCAAGTGCGAAACACAATGAATGATAAGGTGGCGAAGAATCTCAAATTCATTACTATGCACGTCTACGCTATGAAGTTTTTTGAACTTCCTGAAAATAACGAATTTAGACTGTTTGTTACCTATAATAAACTCTTAAACTCCATTCAATTCATTTCAATGATAATGTTTAGCCGTGGCGAGGCTCAAGCGATCAGGCCTGTTCTTCCGCCTGACCATCCAAATTCCTCTACTCTCTTTTCGACGTATAGCAGAAAAAGGAGATATCACTGAGGCGAAGAAACTAGCGATTTTCATTTTGTTCAGTCCGACACGCTAACAGTTAAATTTAATTTGAAGTATTTTTACGATTAGGGATCTTATTAAAAATTGTTACTTAAGGGTTAATATAATAATCCTTTATATAAATACAGCCTATTTAATATGTTCTTGAAGCACTTGAAGACGTAAAGAATTATCACATCCCTAAACTGTTTGACTTCACCCAAGTTGAAAATTCCTGCGTAAAACCCTGCTAATCGGGGCTGAAGTCCTGGAATTCTCGTTCTCAAGGGCGCCGAATAGCCGGGGCTTGTGCTGAATGAAAGCGTCCCCTGGGGTTGACAGGTGGCTGGAGGCGAACGGAAGTTCCTCGACGCTGCTTCGCTCTTGCGGTTGCGGTTGCGACAGCCAAGGAATGCGCTTCCGGTTGCATCACGGCGGAGAATGGACTTTCCGTGTTCGTGTGGAGATCGCCGCGACATGATTTGTTGCGAGTGCACACCACGTCATGCGCTCGCCGCGGGGCGATGAGGCACAGTACAGGCTCTAGAACGAGATCTGCAAAGAGCACTACGGGGCCGCCCATAAATTACGTAGCGCAAATTTGGAACATTTTGAATACATCCCCCTATAATAAATTCTTACGCGCGTTTGACCCCCCTAAATAATTACACAATGCATATGTCAACCCCCATTTAGAGAAAGTAAAAATATATTATCTCAATAAAAACAATTTGTGTTAATTTTATTAATATTATGTATGAAAATTTATGCTAAATAAAGTTATTATTAGTTGGGAATGCTGACCGCATCTAACAATAAGGTTGGAAAAACTTTTTGGGTGAAGGAAGACAATTTCTAACCATAAGGCATGCACCCGCCGTCGTGGATGGTGCATGAGCGATATACTATTTGCCGATTTAAATGGAGTCTCGAATGTACTACAGTTGCGAATATTTTCTTCGTAATATAACAGGTTCAATTAATATTTAATTTATAAAAATAGTTTGTCATTGAAACAATTTCATCAATTATTAATATTTTTAAATTTTAATTTGCTAATATCGTAATATGTTAGTACGTGACCAAATGAATGGAATTATTTCAGCAAATGTTTAACATTTTAAGAAATAAACGTTACGTGACACTAAGCTAACACTCCGCTACCTCCATAAGTACGTAAAGAAGAGTAACGCTGTCTTAACCACCCCTTTAGCGTTTCGTTCTTTACGAACGACCGCTAATATGCGATTTGGTTAGATATATAACCAAATAGGTTTCACCAACTCCCATTTTATGTTTAACGTCGTTTACCTTCGAATAAATTGCATTAATGTTGCTCGCGAGTATCACCATGTAATTTAAACTCGATATCTGAAAGTTAAACCTACGCGTAGCTAAATGCTAGAGCTCGGTTAAAGAGAGGTAATCGATGTTATCTGTTTTCCCTTCTCGCTTCGACATTTGTGGTCTCATTCATGTCTCATGCATCGATATTTAGAGATCCTTAACAGCATTATTGGACTACAGCGATCTTTAGAAAAGCAAGATTTAGTGTGGATATGAAATCGTTTTTGCGCAAATTCATTATTTTGATGAAATTGGTGGTGTTGGAAGCTCTCTAAATGCACTACACGATTTTGGAATATAATGAGGAGAAGCTTCAATTTAAGTTTTTTAAATTGAAAATAATATTTGTCTTGCCAATAATTTTTTACAATTATAGCTTAACTAACACTTTAATTAAGAGCATATTTTTCCATAAATGGCATGTAAACAATTTTACTTGCTAAAATTTAAAATGTGACAGTATTAATTTTATTTTAAATATTAATATAAAAATATTTATACCTTTTTCAATTTGCGAAAGCTATAATTTTTCATTAATTTTACATTATTTTCATTATTTTCAAATAATTAATTTGTTGAATACGGTATTGTCATGGATGAATGGTGGTCTTCCATAGTGTAATGCGGCAGGAAGTCAGTAGCTGGTCCGTGGCCTGTTCGAGTTCTGCTCTGGAATTCGTCTCGTATTGATCGGCGAAACAACGGCCACTATCAATCAGAGCAGCCGTTGAGAGAATCCTCCTCCAGACAGTGACTGAATTCGACCCAGCTGGAAAGGCAGTGACGAAATTCCGGCTCCGTCGGGTCTCAAACCCGAAGAGTCGTTGCAGTGGAAATGAATGTTGTTACTGAGCCATGTAATCCAGTCGGACGCAAAGAAATGTGTAGATCTCACAATGTCCGGTGAGAAATGTTACATTGAATACCATCTGATTCCTCTTCAAATTTTCCATCAATTGAATAAATTAAAAAAGATAGTTTGACCGAGCAGCTTCTTCAATAACTTAAAAATTCTGTCATCCAAAATTTTTTCAGCACCTGTACTAATTTAAACTTCTTTTATTAAAAAAAATAGACCGATAAGGGTGAATTATGTTCTTACCATCTTAAAGAAAAAATATTTTACTTTCATTTATAGTATTTTTGGTACTTCACCGTGGTCAATATAACGGAATCGGCAAAAGCGTTTTGGGAAATCAACTAATCCTGAGCAGCGCCTCTGACCGGGAGGTGCTAGGTTCGAATCACGACGGTGGAAGGATTTTCAACACTAGGTAGAAATCAGGGAAATCTGGGAAGATTTCAGTTGTCTCGATGAGAATTCTAGCGGCTGTCTACTTTGATCGATAGTTTTCCGTGGTTTCATCAGTCAACACCAGGAGAATACCGGAGCAATACTCTAACAAACGAGCCACGGACCACACACTATCTTTCTTTGCTCCTCCTTGCCCATCATCTCTCCTTACTTAGACACACACTTACACTCTCTCGCATTACACTATCACAAATGTCGGAAGACCAGTTGGGAACTTGGAGCTTGTCACAGCTGGGGTGTCGCCCCGCTAGTGGAGATACGTGGTTAGGGAAATCCCCCAAAACCAACGTAGGTCGGCGCCGGATCCCGCCATCATGAAGGCGAAGATCACCGCCACTTCCCACGATAAAAACATGAAAACATACACTATACTTACGAAACGAATGACCTTAGCAGTTGACGCTCCCAGAATCACTCATCAATCAATCGCGACAACGCACTTGAATGCCTGGTAATAGAGGCAGAGGCGACTCACCCCCGTGGCGATGCAGGAGTCGTCGAGGGCTCGTCGCTTGTCGCCGCTCGTCGCCTTGGGGCCGCCCGCCAGCGCCGCCAGCGACGGCCAGCCGCTCCACTTGGCCTGCGCACAACCACACGCACTCGCCGTCAGCACACATTACGCCAGTTCAGCTAAATCTTAAAAGCAGTCTCTCCTTAAACAATGCCATAACCCCACACAAATCAATAATCACACCTTTAATGACACATGCTTGCCCCGTTGGGACGGACGCATCACAAACGTATATCAGAGATAAATAGTGCCAAAAAAGAAATTAAGATTAGCCACACATGCGCCATGGATCATTTTTAATGACCATTAACTCCTTAGAGAATTACACTTAACATCCATCAATCATCACATTTATAATCTTTCCAAAACTTTATATTCCACACTTAACTATTTCCCGACCCGAATCCGAAAAATAATATCCGCTACATAATATCCGCTAACAGACATCCGCTAACTAAGCGTGCGTGCTTAATGAGTATCTTAAACCAATGCAGTTGGAATAATATTAGTTTTAGATAATTAAGGTTAACTATAATGCATTCCGACTATATGTGAAAAAGTAAAAGTTACAGAAGCATATACTCATCATTCGAACAATAAAAATTAAAATAAAGAAATAAATAAAGGCATCAACACTCGGACGGTAGGGGGTTGAGTCTAATCTGCGCACATTTACTTAAGCTCCGCTATCCCTGGCCCTATGTTTACTTAGTTGAATAATGCATGGAGGTACCAATAAACTGGTTAGTAACATTTGATGAATTATACATTTTCATTGCCACGTAATACAAAACGTATTGGGCAAACTAATTATAGATTTACTTTTATAGTATTACTAATAAAATAATAACTCATACATCGGCCCTACGTCTATCTCTATTAACAAAAGGGAGCTTAACGAAACATGGGCACAGTGAAGCTACATTTATGTGCAGAAGCAAAACTAGGGGCCGTCTTAATTTGGTTAATTCATCAAGCCCATGTGGTCGAAAAACCTGGTCGTTAACACACATTCTCAAATACAATAACATTCTCAATAACAATAAAAAATGTTTTAAAATAATGCAGAACCAACTATTACTAGTGCATTTATATAATCTCTATAAATAATTCGAATATATGGCGGTTTTCGGCAATTTATAACGGGGACGTATAGGGAAATGAAGACAGAGTACAGGGGGAACCCGAATTGTTTCTTATATTATTATACAAAATGAGACCCATTTGAATTTTTAGTATATTTTTAGAGATTTAATTTTATTTCTTAATTTTATTTATTTATTTACGTGAAAAACGGTTAAAAACTGTGTATGTCGTGATATGGGGAGAAGTTAATTGGAAGTTACATTTATGTTCAGAAGCAAAGTAAGGGGCCATCTCAGCATTTGCACGAGAATCAGGGAAACTGGACGAACACCTGATCGAGATGGGGAGAAGATCATTGACCCAGAAGCTGAAGTACAATACTTGTTACAGGTTCTTTAGAATTATACAATACAAATGGTATATAATATATTAGATGTCATCGTTAAAATTAAATTTACTTTCCTTTTGGATGCTCGGTATAGTCTCTAATTATATAGAAACAGTTGTGCAGCAGAACATATTTTACTTGGGTCTTAAACTTTTGCATCGAATTTAATTGTTTAATGTCATTTGGTTACTACTGGTGCTTGTGTATCTTATTTATTTAAATTTTTAATGCTTTAGAACACAAAAATAAGATACAAGGAAGTCGAATAACTAGTACTAGCTTCGCTCCACTTCACTCACAGAATCCCAATGTTCTGTTACATGACATCATTGTGATCATTCTGAATATCGAAGTAACGCGAAGCCGCAAACGATCGAAACCACTTCAGTGGTTGAGGGCCCTAACCACAGTGGGAATCAGAGGAGGAGAACGAACAGTGATCATCTAAGGAGGGCAGGCAGTGCCCAAAGAAACAGAGAAGAAATAGTTTACGTTTTTATGCCTTTTCCGTTAACATTTCCAGATTTGCAATTTTGAACAGAATTGTTTATTTCGGCCTTTCAAAAGCTACTCATGATATCTCTATCACATACAATCAAATCACATGTATTAAAAAATATAATGTTCTTAAAAAGATGTAACTGAACTTGAAAATACGACCATCATAGCTTCAACTTTAAAAAACGTTTTCTTAAAAAAGAAAAGTATGTATGGCGAGGCCCGATTTTCGAAAATTGCAGTTTCAATTTTTTCAGCGTTTTCCTACAAATCAATATTAAAGATACAGATTCTTGTCTTAATTAAATGTGTTCTTCAGAAATATAAAAATAATATCAATAATTCAATATAAATAAGACCTATTACATTTTGTAAAACTCGATTGGTTTTTGTGTAATTTTGCGTGAAATTAAGACAATTTTCTCTCTTGAAAAATGGGAAGTTCCTTATGAAAATGGAGGTCTGATTTTTGTTGAAATCTGAATTTTCGAAAATTGCAAACGATAGGTATAGTGCGAAAGTATGTGTTGTAGCACAATTAGTTTCATTTTCTTAAATTGCTTTGTGGTTTATATGTTTATGTACTACTATTCTTACTTTAGATTTAGACTCTTACAAATGAACTTACCTTTTGATCAATCCTGTTAGGATCTTTCTCGGGAGGTGATCGGGCAAGTGGACTGCCATCTGCAACAAAAAAATGAATAAACACCTAAAATTATGACACACGAAGTAAATATACTGCCGCATTCTGAACGTAGTAAATCATAACGAGGACTAGGATTTGTGTGTAATTAATTACATATGTATTTTCTTCTCTTAAAGTAAAAAGTATGTCATGTGTTTACGAATTAGGCTTTTGAAGTTATTTAAAACACATTTGAGATTCCATATTTGTCTATATATTCGGGACGAGGTTGACTATTGACCCGATAATTCATGTGACGTTGAATTGACGTTAAAACACTATGCAATATTTGACACAAAAGTCGCCGTCCCACATGTGTCCATGTAAAGCAGTGCAATTCACTGCTTCGTCAATTAGCTATTGTCAAAATATGTTATGAACTTTCTTTCAGCAATGCAAACACGCTACAGTAAAATATATATATATACACACATAGATATATATATACACACATATACATATATATATATATATATATATATATATATATATATATATATATATATATATATATATAGTAACGATTAAATATTGTTCTGTGGATAAGGGGTCGTTCATAAATTACGTAACGCAAAATTGGGGTATTTTGAATACCCCTCTCCCCTCTGTAACGCGGCCGTAACGCACGATTGAACCCCCCATAATAATTATGTGCCACTAGCGACAACCTTCCGCCCCTTATATATGTGTAAAAAGTGAAAATAAATTATAGTTAAGTAAAACAGAGAATTTATTTAATTTATTCAGTAACAACTTCTAATAGCAAAATAATTTTATTTTAAAACAAATTAATTAGAGAATATTTTCATGTTTTAGTGTGTCAAAAAAGGAAGTATTTCAACAAATGCTAAAAAATGTCAATATTACATAACACTAATGAAATACCCCCTACTCCTATGTAACGCAGCGTAACGCTGCCTCAAACCCCACCCCTGTTACATAATTTATGGACGGTCCCTAATAATACAATGAAGATTTTTGGACATTCTATTTATGCAACTTGTTTGTTTGGTTAATTCAGTATCCTATTTTTTAACATTTTATTTAATATTTGGAGAACATATAAGTACACATATTTAGGAACATTTTATTCTATATAAATACAAACCCTACTTCAATAAAAATATCTTGTCTCAAATATTTCTCCCTCCTCCTCCTTCTTCTCTACAATTGCAGCAACTGTTGCTCTTATTGTTTTTGCTTATTGTTATTGCTATCAACTCGCTTCTTGGCTAAAAAGCTAATTTACCAGCTGATGTACATATTCGTATTGTACACGTCTTCGGACGCGCATTATTCCTTACAATGATGTTCAGACTCACTACCAATCCAGAAACTCAATTAATCTGCTCTCTAAACGCGAAGTGTGACACTACTTGTTACGTTTGTTTCGAAATACGTGAAGAATCTATTGAGTGTTTGCTGTTCGGGACGAGATGCTCGTATGTCGTGGTAGCTGGCACTTCAGTCAACATGTGCGGCTTTCTTCAGGGCATTACTGCGCAGCCTACGCAACCACACCTTTAACCTCAACGGGGAGCCGATCTTCAAATAAACATGCAATGCTGTTCTGAAGAAGGCCACAAGATACTATTACCCGAAACGTCGGCCGCCACCACGCACATGTAGACGGTAGTTCGGTCGAACTATCGTCATTCTTTAGAACACTATTAGATAAAGCAAGTAAATCCCTTTTCTAATAATTGGTAGGGAGTTGTTGTTTTTCGGGAAACTAGTTCTGGTCCTATTTCAGTTAATAATATGGAATAATGAAATAAGCACACATTTCGATTATTATTTGGGTCCGAAATTTTTTCGACGTTCACAGGGAATCTCAGAATAATTTTGTTTAAGATTAGGCTCCAAATTTGAGTTGATTCGCTCACCTCTGAAGCAGGGGTTGTCGAAGGCGAACTGGTCAGCACCGCCCTCCGGGTCCTTGGTCAGGATGAGGTGCTTCCCTGCAACAGACATCACACGATCACACACCACACTTATTGCACAGCAAGGGAGTGGTTGTCTACGTAACTAGAATAGAAAGAGTCTTGGAGGAATGAAATGTTGACGGACGAGGTGACGATATGGCCCCGTGTCCAACCTTTTGAAATAAATACGGAAAAGACACTTTCGTAGGATATGCGTACAGTATTTTTGTGTACAAATTTATCAGATAAGTTTTTTTAGTATCGAAACATTTCCTATATATCAACAACATACAACACAGTCCATATTTTTACAGAAAACTAAAATTAGGAAAAATGATACGAGGCATGTGATGGTCTTATGCCATTGAACACAACTTCATGTAGCAGTGAACACAAATTTTTTAATGAATTTAAAGGCACCTGAAGAAAAATTATTTGTTTCCGCAATAACAGTCCTAATGTTTATAAAATAAACATTCTTTCTTCATCGAGTAATTATTAACCTTTTATTTAACCATTAGTTTGAAGTAAAAACAAAATATAAATTGGTAATTGCTTACAATCAAACATTTATATCACATTATGTTACGACTTTTTGCAGAAATTAACTCCAAGAACAAGTTGCTTATTGTCGTCGTGAAGTATCCTATTTAATTGGTTATGGTACTTATCAACGTCCAAGTTTTATTCAAGAACGTCAAATATTTCCTCACTGTCAAAAAGAAATGTATTGAGGCAACTTACAGATACTTCACCACGTATTAGAAATCTACAGTATCCCTTTTATCTTGTCTCCTGAATAATTGACATCGCCATTTTGCTTTAAAACCGAACTAACTCAAAGTCGCATACTTAACAATTATTACAGTCACGTTTAATGACAATTTCATCGCCTTCCTTGAAAATATCAGTATCACCTACTTCATCATTTTCAACCCCGCTATCTGTCAGGTTCGTAACTTCTTCAATATCTTTAGATTAACTCTGTAGAAGGGTCGTTATAACGTTGTGTACTTAAATACAGAGCACAACGCTACATTATTAAAAATGTTCACATGAACAAGATGTCTAGCGTAAATAAATCCATGCTGCTACGTTATTTTAAACTATTGTATTACAAAAATATATGATATTGTAGACAAAGACATGCGCATTCATATTTGATCAGTTTTACTTATCATAATCACACACACACACACACACACCAACACTTACGAAATGCTTATTTCCAATGATGGAAACACAACCTTGGCTGCAAGGCAATATAGACACTTGTAGAAAATGCTGCAATTAACAATTTCATCATTTTCTATATCGTGAACTATTGGAGAGAATTTAAGGGTGGCTATGGCTAGAACTGTCTTTTATGTTCAATTCCTTCCTTTCAATAGAAAGAATTAGGCATTTTAATTCGAGAAGGCAGCGAAGAAAGACAGCGAAAATAATGGTACAGGCTTGTTTTCATTGAATACCCTGATTTTTCGTAAGTTGCAAAATATCAAATATTTTCAGCGTTTTCCTACAGCTACAGTATTAAAACTGGAGTTTCTTGCTCTGAATGAAATTTGTTGTTGAAAGATCTTGAAAAAGGTCATGTACAATTTTTCGAAAATATGAGTAGTTTTCGTGTAATTTTCAATGAAATGTAGATATTTTTTTAAAACAGTTTCAATTTTTTTCTTTTACATTTTACCTCGTATGCATATCTTTCCTCCAAAAGAAGGTAAAAGATATGCAGCTATCTTTCTGTATTTCGGAAAATTGCAAAAAATTAAACATTTGAAAAATTAAAGATAAAGGTTTTTGGGTTAAACAGAATATATTTTAAAAAGTTAGCTCTTTATAAAAGGTCATGTACAAATTTTTGAAAAAGAGAGTAGTTTTCGCATAATTTGTACCTGCAATTAATGCAATTTAGTAAAAAAAATATAAAAAACCGCTCAAATTTTTTTCTACCAATTTTTTTCCAGGGATGGAATAAGAAATGTGCAGGTTTCATTATCATTGAATTTACTTAATAACATATTTAGAAATGAATGCGAGAAAGTTCAATGTTGTTTAGTATGTGCACTACCCTTAGTTTACTTATTCATTAATCCTTGTGAACGTTAAGACCTACCTTACCATAGGTAATAGTTATTTATGCACGGCATTAAGGGCGTTGTAAGAGTTCGAGGGCGTTTTGTGACTTGAGGTCTTTAGAAACAGTTAACGCTCCTGGTACATAATTTTCATTTTTACTTAATCTTTTTATTCAGATTTACTTATTTACTAATGAACTAGATGTTAACTTAACTCGGTTTGTCTTTAAATATTTCCATCCAATAATTCCTTTTCATAATTCCCTCTCACAATTCCCTACATAAGATAACAAGTAGCATCATTCAACTGTTTTCATATTTCCCTCGTAACCACGATCCTCTCGATCCATGTATGGTATGTCAGGCGCGGATCCACGAGGGGGGATGAGAGAAATTCCTCCGCCAAATTTTTAGTACCTATTAATTCTAACTACTCATGAAACTTTTAAGTAACTAGTGCTACTAAAACAGCACGTACTTTCTCGCCCGTATTTTCACACAAAATTACGCTTACCTACTCAAATTTTCAAAAATTGTACTTGAAAAATCTTTCTTGAAGGAACAGATTGCATTCATAAGAAGATGCCTATCGTTAATATTTTAGTTTAATGAAGACTGCAATAAAACTTTGAACTTTTACAGTTTTGGAAAATTCGGATTTTCAACGAACATGAGACCTGCACCATTGTCTTAAACGTTCTTTACACGATCTAACAAAGAAATAAAAGACTATGGAGCATTTTTTTTATAAAATGAAAAATGTTCCAGATGCTTCATGTAAAGTACCCGCCCCCCAAACGTAAAATATCGGTTTCATATTCCAGAGTCCGTGACATCAGCCTCATCGATTGGAGAATATCAATTTGGAGAAAATCGGCTGGACGATTTAGACGGTAGTGCTGTTCACAGACGGACCGACAGACGTTTTACCGTCATTAGGTTTTTCAGTTTCAGGGACCCACAAATCATAGATTATGGTTATTCTACGTTTTA